ACCTTTCTAAATTTTGATAAACAAATATTTGCACTCTGTCCATCTCACTAGTAATAAGTTGCTCTTTTTTTCCTCTTTCCTCTACAACAATAGTTGTACAGAAATAAATTATAATCAGAATGAAATTTAAACAAAGTCTGAGGATTTCCTTTTTTCTAAATGGGGAAAGTGTATTCATATTACTAAATAATTAGTTAAATGTTTATTCTTCTCTTTTCCATCTATTATATGTCTGCCTAACTTGAAACAAATTACTTTCTGGTACTGTTACTTTCTGCCATACAGTTTACATAAGACTTTGTAAACTAAAATTGACATGTTAAGCAACAGTCAAGAACTTTTAAATTTTGGCTTCTTCTAAGGCATTTTTTTTTCCTCTGCTACTTTTATTTCTTTCCATAACAATTCCTAAACTTGACTATTTATGAAATTCCTTTTCCTTTCAACATAAGTGTCTTTTCTGCTATGTGTGGTGATAGTTATTTTTGAGGAGTTATGGACTGTAATAATCCTGAAAGCAAGAAGTTATGTGTTATAACTACATTTTGTTGATAAATATTGAGTAGTACATGAGGACATCAAAGGTGCAAGGTATTAATTTAGGGCAAATAAAATTATGCTACACATCTCTGAGATCATCTGTTGTCTTTCTACTCATTTACTTACTGAAAATTACAGTAACATGAACCCATGTATATTTATGTCAAGATTTATTTGGAAAATATCATGATCTTGATTATCACATCAAACAAAAAATCAGTTTTGCAGAACTGGATAGAAAGGGTAATTTGAGATGCATATTTTTCATATGCAAATAAAGAAAGAAGATTGAGAGAGCATTTAAAAATATGCTCATATTCCTAAGACATACGTTGTTACAGGGAAAGCTAATTGTCACTGCCATAACCATTACCAATGTTTTTGTCTCTGATGATCCTCAGGAGAATTTGTGTTGACAGTGTATTTAAGCAGCAACACAGGAGACTACAGCAAAATAAACGTTTGTGTGAAAGAATGATAAGAAATTAAGATAATTAAGATACACAGCAGAACATCTTCAATGTTAAATTCATTTCAGAATACTTCAGATGACTCCATGTTGGATATAGAATGGAATGGACATGATATTTGTTACCAGTGTGCTCGCTATACACAGGGTAATATGTTGGATTTTATTGTTTTTCTTCTTTATTTCATGGTTCTCCTCCGGTCTGCTAGCTCCTTGCAGAGATGGTAAAATGAATAGTTTACAGTATCAGAAACAACAAATTTGACAAATTCATTTTTCTCTTACAAAGAGATTTTATATACTAACTTATCTCATTCCAACTAGAGAAAAAAAAATCTTGTAAAATAAAACAAAGTATCTGAGCAGGAATTGATGGACTTTTCTAGACTTGCTTACTCTGGAATATGCATAGGAAAAATAGCACTCAAAAATTACTTCAAATTAAATGTATGCACACTGTTTGAACACACATATAAAGAGTTTAATAAACTAATAACAAATAAAAACAAAAAAGTATTTTTCATATAAGGCAATATGCTATATCATTTAATAAGATGTAGAAAACTAACCTGTTCTTGTTTGTTTGTTTGTTTTTAGTGAATAAAGGGCATGATATTTTGTAAACATAAAAACATTTATATTTGCTTGTGTTTTTCTCTGTGTGATTTTCTGTTGTCTTTCCTTAGGGTAATTGAAATTTTATAAGACAAAAACTTATTTTTATTTTATATTACGAATGCAAAATATTCTTGAAAATCACAGAAGATTGTCATGAAGTTACTATCCATATCCATATCCATATCCATATCCATATCCATATCCATATCCATATCCATATCCATCATCTATATATAGCAGTCAAAACTAAATTGCATCACATTCTTATAACTGTATCTCACCTTATATTTATTTCACATAAATATATGCAATATTATGTGGAGTTTCTCTGTTTTGTAAATTGAAAATAATATTTGGTAGTTATATAAATTTATTATAGTGAGAGAATTGTGTGATTGTTAAGTTCTACACAACTAGTATCTTGTTCATATCAGATGCATATCAGATGTTTTGATTTTCACTATTATTATTATTATTAATAATAATAATATGGAAATAAACCTATTTTTTTCACAAACTCTAATGCCACAAATTTATATCACAGCCTAATCAAAATTCATCAAATGCTAAGTTAAAATAAAACATTCAAGGGAATTAGAAATTGTTACTACTACTTGCTCATCATTGCCCCACTCCAAAAGGTTGTTGATTCTGAATTACCAAAAGAATTGTTCAAATGAACAATCAAAATGAGTTTGGCAAGCTAACACTATTTACATTCACAGTCTGGATTTTTGCTACCTATCTACATGTATCTTCTTTTGATACAAGGGATCAGTCTGAGTAGATGAACAGATCTCTAGATCTAGAAAGAGTTTGTTTGAATAGCTGCATTTGGATGCTTATTATGAAAAGCGCTGTTTTTAAGGTCATTTTTATGTTCTCTGAAGATTCTTTAGGTTGCAGAGATGCCTGCAAGAAACATTTAACAGTTATTCAGATCTGAACTACATTATTACCTGTCTTAATAAATAGTTTTTATCTCAACCCATGAGTTCTATATTGTTTCCAATTCTCTCCCTCATTCTATTTAGAAGAGTGAAAGGTTGTGTGGTGGTTAGCTGATTGCAAGGTTAATCCACAGCATTATCTTTTTTTTTTTTTTTTCCCTTTTCATTTCCTTGTTCAGAATTGTGAAATATTCTGTTCCAGAAATTGTTGCTTATTTTGAAAAGTGGGAAACTTCCAGTGTCTCTGGACAAACCATATTCTTGAGACTTCAAGACCAAGACTCCTGATAATAAGTCCCTTCACATGCAGTTTTCAAGGCAGACTGCTATGGAGATATTACCTGTAGGCCAGAATTTAGTTTAATTTGTATAACAAGTCATAGAAATTTATATCAGTAACCACATTTGAACATATATATAAGTTTAAGTAACATTAAGAAAGGAAAAGGATGTAAGCTTGTCTGAGGCCACAACCTCAACAACACTATCTCCAGCCCTCATGCTGTCTTCTCCATCTGACACTAACACTGGATAATTTTCCTTCTACTTCTCCATAGGATCGCTCTTTGAGTCCACAGCATCAGCTCTTGTTGGCATATTTTGAAAAGGTTCTACCTCAAGAAAATAAATGAAGTTACATGCCACAAGTGAGGAACATCTCACAAATAAATGTGTAGTGTTTCCTAGTGCACAGAAATTGTGCTGCATGACGCAAGACAAAATCATCTGACCAAAAGTAATACACTGTATTTTGCACTTGATATACACATAAATCTACTTTGATTTTTTTTTTTTTTTCCTTTGCCCTGGAAACAAGGTCAGGTTTCATAATCAAATGCTTTTAATGACCTCTGTTTGTTAATTACATAATACTCCACATTCTGTTCTAAGATGCAGTCTTTAAATTTAATTTTTCTGTATTCTCCTTAGAGCTGGCAAATTGCCACTGGGGATTTTTTTTTTGAGTGCTATATGCATGTTGTATTACATTCTTCAAACATGTTGTATTTAATCCTTAAGAATGTTCATAGAGATTTATTACAGAAGTAGACTGAATACAGTAGGTATCAAAATTGCTCAGATAGATAGTCATATCATCCAGTATTTCCTCTAAAAGAACAAGAGAATAATCAGCTCACATGCGTTAATAGTGTTATGTTACAGTGTAAAAACAGTGGGAAAAAAATCAAAGTGAAGGAATTTTAACAAAATCCTCCATGATCACCCTTTATACAGGTGAAGTATTGGAAAGATGCAGTGGTTCAGCTATGAAACACAGAGATAAACATAGACTGATATAGAGAAATGAGAAAAAAAATGGCAAAAAAAAAAAAAAAAAAAAAAAAAACTTTTCTGGCTTTACTGACAATCTAGAGTAAAACCTTTACTGATACTGAATAATATATTTTCAGGTGGGTGACATACTATATTCTATTCAGAGAAAAGAAAAAAAAAAAAAGCTGGATTCTTTCTATCCATATTTGAAAAACATTCAGGCTACTGAGCTGTGGTCAAAAGGGGCTGTAAACATATATCTGAGGAAAATGTACTGCAGATAATCTTAAAAAGCATGAGTATGTCCCTGTAAATGCAATTATAGGAGTAGAATTCAAGAAAAGAGCATTGTATCAGAATTTCTAAAATCTGAGAAAGCCTCAAGGACTTGCTTTGGCTGTTGTTTTGAAGTGCTTTTTCACAATGATATTGTACAGTAAGTAATCAGTAACTCTAAGCTCACAAGTATACTGTTTTGAACTCTTATGGAGAAGTGTAGTAAGAAAAAACCTATAAAATTCCACTCGATGCTTTGAAAATTTACCTCCTAGTGTTCCTGAGAATTATTTCACCCATATGGAGAGGACTAGAAGGAAGTTAGTAATTAACTGAGGCAAGATCTTTCAGAAAAAGTATGTTAGAAACATAAGTTGCTTAAACCAAAACACTTATAGGTGATTTGGGGAAGTTCAAAAGCTGTAATCCTTAAAATCTATTCCTTGTTACAAGATACTAATGCAAGAGTGCATCATCAACAGTCAACAAATGGGAAAATAAGATTTATTCTCCAAATAGAAACTTGAGGATTTTACACTCCCTTTCATCTTTAAAGTCTTCAATAAGGAGACTACTGTCACTTTCTTGATAGACTATTGAAAGAACTGTTATCTTTTAAGGTTTAATTTTGAACATTACTACATCATCTTCTATATTCCCTCATGTCTTTACAGATTTGTTTAGAAATATTTTTTTGTGTGTGTATGACTGAGTCTCAAATTTGTAATTTTTTCAACAGTGAAACAGAAGATAACCACTGCTGACCCCAATTACAGTCAAGATTGTACAGACTTATTCATATATGCTGAATGATTTGGTCTGTAATAACAATACATATATTTATAGAATTCTTCTTTTCTACCTCCCTGAAGCTACACACTGACCAAGATAAAGGAGATGGAAATTTAAAATACATATTAACAGGAGATGGGGCTGGCAGTCTGTTCATTATAGATGAAAATACAGGAGATATTCATGCTGCAAAGAAATTGGACAGAGAAGAAAAGTCCCTGTATGTGCTACGTGCCAAGGCTATAGACAGAAAGTCTGGAAGACAAGTGGAGCCAGAGTCTGAATTTATCATTAAAATCCACGATATCAATGACAATGAACCAAAATTCACCAAGGATCTGTACACGGCCAGTATCCCGGAGATGTCTGGAGTTGGTAGGTAAAAAATTATCCTTATGTAGAATCCAAACATTTTTGGGCTGATTTGGAACTTGCAAATAATTTCTTATCTGAGATACTTAGTTCCTGTAAACATCCAAGGAAAAAATTCTGTTGTCAGTAGGGTAACAGAAATGATTGATTCATGTTTTTATTTATTTGTTTAATCTTCATCCACATTTAAATCCTTTTTCCACATTATAAGCTACTCTTTTGCTCTTTTAAGCCCACTGGACCTGCAAGGAATGTAAGATATATAATTGTCTTATCAGTTTTGTCACAGCTGTGAATGTCATTTCTATAAAATGCATTTTCATTATATTTATAATGTGTAATCTACCAAACCTTTCTGTAGCTTTAGACATGAGCCACTCTTAGGAAGTAAGTATTCAAATCAATTTGTGTACCAAAATGATGCAAAATATCTTGCTAAAGTACTGAAGGATTTGGTTTTGGATTGTTGCTTTTATTTCTTTGTTATCAACATTAATATTATTATTATTATTTTATTATTATTATTTTTAGGATACTAAACATATGAACATCTTTCCCAAATAAATAGTTAGTTAAATGAATATATTAAAAAACAAAAACAACAAAAAAACTAGATTAAAGTAATTCACAACTGCATTGAAAGATGTGGAATTCCATTAGAAGTTGGGTGAGAAATATAGCCTCAAAGTATAATAAATCTTTGAGCTTTGTAGAAATAATAGCATCACAGATAGTATTCACAATCACATATTCATTAGAGTTAATAATGATCATCTATGTATTTGAATTGCTTACAGTAGAGACAATCTCTCTGATGAGTAAGTGTAAAATACATGGGACAATGGGGAACAAGGTATATCTCAAGAGTTATTTACTTATCATGAATTAGTGTAATGGTTTGCAAAATCAGCCCTGGATTATGTCATTTCTCTGACAGAAAAAAAAAAAAAAAAAAAAAAGCACCTATGAATATTTGTGACCAATATGGGCCTTTGCAAAAATAATTTCCTGAAGTTAATTATTATCACCGAGTGCAATTGGCCTTCTGTGATGGATGGCATGAGTGGACAAAGGAAAGGCAACTGATGTCATCTACCTGGTCTTGTGCAAGGTTTTTTGACATGATCCTGTATCACATCCCTACCTCTAAATTGGAGACACGTGAATTTGAAGTGTGGAGTTTTCGGTGAATAAGAAATTGGTTGGAAGGACATAGTCAAAGGGTTGTGGTCAGTGGATGTATGTCCAGATGGAGGCCAGCAGTAATGAGTGGTGTCCCCCAGCATTCCATTCTTATTAGGACCAATGCACTTTAACACCTTTATCAGTGATATAGATTATGGGGTTGAGTGTATCCTCAGCAAGTTCGCTGATGACACCATAATGGGTAGTGCAGATGATATAATAGAATGAAGGAATGTTATCCAGAATGACCTTGGTAAACTTGAAAGGTGGGTCCTTGTGAACATTATGACGTTCAGCAAACCTAAGTTCAAGATTTTGCACTTGGGTCAAGGTAATCCCAGATATGTGTACAAGCTGGGAGAACTCATTGAAAGCAGCTCTGTGGAAAAAGACCTGGGGATCCTGGTGGATGAAAACCGTAATATGAGCCAACAGTATCCACTTCAGCTTGGAAAGCCAATGATATTCTGGGCTGCATCAAAAGAAGGGTGGCCAGCAGGACTAGGGAGGTGACTGTCCTCCTATTCTCTGCCATTGCGGGGTCCCATCTAGAATAGTGTATGTTCAAGTCTTAGCCCCCAGCAAAAGAAATATGTGGAGATTTTGGAGAGGATCTAGAGGAAGAGCACAAGGATGATCAGAAGGCTGGAGCAACTCTGGAGTTTGAGGGAGCTGGGCTTGTTCAGTCAGGAGAAGGGAAGGCTGAGGGGAGAACTCATTACGAAGAACTTTCCAGTACATACAAGGAGATTATAAAAAGGAGAAAAATAAACTTTTTATATAGATAGAGATAGGACAAAGGGAATGGTTTTAAACTGAAGGACGGGAGATTTGGATTAGATATCAGGGAAGTTTTTCAGAGAGAGGGTAGTGAGGTGCTGAAATAGGCCACCCAGGGAGGTTGTGGATGCCCATCCTGTTCAAGACCAGGGCCCTGGGCAATCAGATCTAGTACTTGATCTAGAGGTTGGCAGCCCTGCCTTCAGCAAAAGTTTGGAACTTGATGATCCTTGAGGTCCCTTCCAACCCAAATTTATGATTCAATGATTCTGTGATAATGTAACCTGACACTTTTATAATAATGACAATGGAATTCCTACAGTACTACGTGTAATGTGAAGAGTCTTAAAATAGTTATTTTAAAGATGAATGCAAACAGAAAAATCTTTTCCAATTTTCCAAATTTTCAGAATTTTCAATTGTCAGTAATGCAATCAAATTACTTACACCTCAACACTTAATCTCTTGAGAGTTTTTGTCACACACTGCTATTAGTAAATGAGATAGGTGTCCAATAGCTAAATTTGGTATGGAAACAGGTTCTGGAACTGCAGAATTTAAAATGAATCTTAGTGTCATAGAGTTATGTAAAATAAATGGTGACAGAAGAGCAACCAGCCCTGAGGTATTATAGAGTGAATAATGCTTGATAGGGTTGCTGTAGTTAGGAAAAGTAGTATGTCTGAAAAGGAAGATCAGAAAACAGTGAAAATGGAATGGAGAAAGAAAAGACTGAAATAACAAAAGTGCAAGAAGTGCAAAATCAAGAAGATTAAAGGCTTTAGAACATATTTATCCAACCTGTGTCTTCCTGGGCAGCTTGCAATGTGGCCTCACAAATTTTAACATTATGATGTGACTTTTAGCAATATTTTTCATTTTTCATGAATCTACTGAGCATAATTTGAATATGGGCTCATTAGGCAACAATGGTATGCTATAGAGGGTTGGGAGCAGAGCAGTGCTAACTCTGCCTCTTGCACCCTCCACACACACTCAGTTGAACTGAAACTCACATATATTACATGTTACGACTCTTGTGCCACTGAGTGAGAAAACAATGATTACTAAGTTTCAACCCACTTACACATGTGAGTGCCTCTAAAGACATGTGGGTTTTGTTATTAAGCAGACACACAAGCTTTCTTGTTTAAGTTGGCTGTGTTATTTCATAAAATAATTTAATGCATTCATTAGTTTCACAAAAACACAATCCCACTAACTTTAAGTTTTTGTTGTTACATTTTTTATGTTTTAATAAAAATATTTAAAAATAAAGGAGGCGTTGTTATTTATATAGGTTTAATATATTATATATTTTATATGCGGCCCAAGAAAATTCCTCTTCACTCAGTGCACCCCAGGCTAGCCGAAAGGTTGGACACCCATGCTTTTGAAGAAAGAATTAGGTGCCTCCTTAAGACCCTCTATAACAAATGAAGAGAATAAGAATTGAAACACAAAATCCAGAATTTCTAGCAGAGAACATATAGAATAAAAAACTCAGCGTAGAACTGTGTTACACGCTATAAATACTCAGGATGATGACTGTTATTTTTTATAACTATGTATAAACAGATCCTTGCATGCTTAATCAGACTGTTTTTCTGACTGGGAAGAACTACAGAAATACACTATACATCTTAAGACACAAATGCACTCACAATGATGAGGTAAAAATTTTTTGTGGAGTTTTCAGTTTCTTACTACTGTTGACTTCTTTCTATCAATTTTGTGTCTTACATCTAAAGATTTTTAAAATATAAATATTAAATCTATAGTCTTTTTGTAAAATTAACCACAATGACTGCAGATATTTCTGAATGTTCAGAAAAATGTCATTGTGATTGAGCAGTTGAACTGAAATCACCACTAACTATTTTCCATATGCTCATGTATCTGCTATTCAAATTCTATATCATACTACATACTTCTCACTGTGTTACTGACTGTTTCTTGGAATAGTTAGATCTAGAGCACACAAGGGAAAAAGATAAGCCAACACCTCCGACAGAATGTGTGATTTTCAGTACCAGTAGGTAAAACTCACTCATGTTTGACTTGCTTAATAGTAAGAAGAGTGAGAATGTAACATGGATTTTCGGCATAGCCTATCCAAGTCCAGAAGGGATGAATGCTTATTTGTGCATTAGTTTATGCTGATCCTGTGCTGCAGTATCTGCACTGCAGCCATCAAGCTGCATTTAAATTAACTTGGCTATGCTTATATCTGATCCAGTCATATCCCCAGCAGCATCATGGTATACCTAAAATGCTGTGCAGCAAATTTAGTTCTAGAAGCAATCAAAACTAGTGAAGTGAGCTGACTACAGTTTAATTTCAGATAGCTTTTATGGAAATGATCATGCTAAATGCTCACAGTGATATTAACTTAAAAAATTAAATTAGAAAGTTTAAGAGATTCTAAAACTCAGTAACATGGAATTTCTTATAAAAGTCCGCTACTATACTGAAGAACTGTTGATTAATAACTGCTGTAGATATGTTTGTAAATAGAATAGTAAAAGAATTTCGGATTGTTAAGATTTATGTCAGATGAGGTAAATTGATTTAATAAAAAATAATTTCAAAATGAGAAAAAATACTCTAGACAGAACAATAAAGGTTAATCAAAAAAAAAAAACACAGAAAGTATAGGAAAACAGGATATTCACACAAGATGTTCAACATTTAAAATTAATATAATATCAAAACAGTAAGATGAAATCTTGGTCACAGTGAGGAGCAGGTAGATTTTGAGCATGATGTATTTATTCTGAATTGGCTATGTTTTAGAAATAAGATAGGTGGAAACTTCTAAGAACACAAATACTTGTTATGTGTCTGGAGAATTATGTATTCATTCCCTCTTTATGTAAACAAAAAAGTATAGTACATGATTGAAATATATTGATTTCAACTTTGAGGCTTTCATCAAAAACAGTCCATAAAGGGCCAAACACATGCTACACCAGTACAAAATTTGATCTAAGTATTTGTCTAAATAAAATGTAATTGCCTATACAAATGCTGAATAT